TTCATGCAGTGCTAGGCAGTTATATACCTCATTTTATACCCATCAATACTTCGGCCTGACCCCCTCTAACTGCCTGGCTTAATATGGCTTTATCCAAGCAGTTCTCAAGCCTATATCATAAATATTAAAGAGACAATTCCCAATTAAACTTTAGAGACACGCCTAGCCTTGTAAGTAATGAAATAGATAGATAGATAGATAGATAGATAGATAGATAGATAGATAGATAGATAGATAGATAGATAGATAGATAGATAGAAAGATAGATAGATAGATAGATAGATAGATAGATAGATAGATAGATAGATAGATAGATAGATAGATAGATAGATAGATAGATAGATAGATAGATAGATAGATAGATAGATAGATAGATAGATAGATAGATAGATAGATAGATAGATAGATAGATAGATAGATAGATAGATAGATAGATAGATAGATAGATAGATAGATAGATAGATAGATAGATNCCCCCCCCCCCCATTCGACTGTATCACAATCATGATTGTAAACATGTTGTGAACCATCTTTAATCAAATACTAAAAATTTTCTATTTCTCTTTTTCAACTTAAAGAAAGTCAGTTATACTAAGTAATAATAAGGATTTTATCTGACTAAACGGACTTTTGCAGGCTATAGGAAGAAAAAGGGTTAGCACCTTATTGGCAAACAAGAACAGGTACTGCAGAAAGACTATTTATGGAATATTTGCAAACTATCGACTTGTAGACTTGAAATAGGAACTTAATACACATATTGAATATGACTATACCAGGGACTACCAGACACTAAGAAATACTTAAAAAGACATTTCCCGCACACATTTGACGAGTTGAGTCATGTCAGTCATTTAATAATTATTGGAAGTTAATTTTTTACCACAAGAACAAGCCTTTGGATATAATGAGAAATGGTATTTTCAAAAAATGTTCGACACGGAGGGGTACTGTACCCTTCCACCCAAACCCTTGAAAATAAAATTCCCCCCCCCCCACTCACAAAAGTGCTTGTTGCGCCACTCACTCCGGACTAACTAGAGTGAGAAGCATTCGGTTTCTTTGTTTGAAATCAAACGTATTTTGGTCTAATTCAGAAATTTTTAAACTTACGAATTTGTTTATTTCATGCTTTTTCATTCAATATGTATATGCCAACCAAAATGTGTATGCCAACCAAAATGTATATGCCAACCAAAAGGTATATGCTAACCAAAATGTATATACCAACCAAAATGTATATGCCAACCAAAATGTATATGCCAACCAAAATGTATATGCCAACCAAAAATTACTTTTATATTTCAAAGTTTCACAGAAATCTATTAATAAAGAATAAAGTTATCACAAATCTACAAGGAAGTAAATCTGTATTCTGTTTTTCAGTCAACTTTTGATCTATCATTCAAAATCTGTCAAAAAGACCTTAAACATTTAAGATATAAAATCAAAATAAAGCATTGCATAGCATAAACCTAAAAATCCACAGGGTGAGTAAAAAAAGAAGGATTTTATTTTCTTATGCCTAAAATCCGAACAAAACGAAAATTTTCAAAATTTTGTCCAAAACATCGATAATCCCTGTGTTGATTAATAAAAAATAGATTAAATCGTAAAATGTAGCATTAAATACGGGTACGGGGATTGAGTAACTATGAGTAACCCGGGCAACGCTGGGTTCCCAGGCAAGTTCATAATATTTCTGGCTAATTGATCTTTTATCACTAAAACTTAATTTTAAAGAATCCTGAATACATAAAATGAAATATATTTCAAAATACAATATACGAGGTTTACGTACGCTCTTAGTAGATCGAAGTTACCCCCACCTATACATGTTGCTTCCTGGACTAAAATAAACATTATTCCATCTGTCATCTTGTGGTCTATATGAACTGCTCTAAGATCTGCTCTCTTCAATTTATATCTTAGATACAGGGTGAGGCATATTTATTGGATTATGGTTTAAAGGGACTGAAGAAGGATTTCAAATGATCCTCTATTTAAAGAGGGAGATTTCCGATTCACAACAGTCCCTTTAAAGCTTTTCATAAACAAAAAATACTTTTTTATTTGAAAATTAATTATTTATAATTGGGATTTGTGAGTTACGGATTTCTACTACATAAACAATGGTGGACAGATTCAGCCTGCTTAAAAAAATTCACATAACTTTTTAAGACAGGGCCGCCTTTGAAATGTCGCAACGCCTTGGGCTTTGATTATACCGCTCTAACTCACTTATTCTGTAGCCCGTTACATCTACATTTTAGCACTATATATACTAGCACTAGTTGTTAGTTTTGGTTTTTATGAAGTAATTGGCAAAATTCTCATTGATTTTTGCTTGAGAGCTTGAGACTTTTAAATAACGGCGTAGAACGGCAGTGGAGGTGTGATAAATTTATGTAAACATTAGAGATTAGTTTTATCATTAATTGCTCTTTAATAAATGAGTTATGATTGAAAACAGAAAAGATAATAATTGTATACTTGCAATTTACTTTAACTTGGCATAGGCATCATTGAAAACATTAAATGTAGTTTCCCACAATAATCTTATACTTGAAGATTAATTTTTAAAAGTAAATATTGAAGATGGCCGAGTTTTGCAATAAAAATAAAACTGGAATTGGTTAAAGTTTATATATACAGGGTTAAAGATTTTAGATTGGAGTTTTACTGCATAGAGATTATGCAGGAAGGGGGGGGGTGAAGTGAATGTATAGGG